GTATCTTGTGCTCCGTCTGGGAGCGCGATCTTGGGCTGTTTCAGGGCCCTCGTGGAGCAAGTCGCGGTGCAAGTGAGCTCGAGGCATCCTAGAGGCTTCTCCCAGAGGGGTGCTCCCCCCCCCCGCGGAGCGGTCACAATCTCCTGGAGCCCCCACGGGACCCCCCTGGGGATCCCCCCCGTCCGGCGGGGGAGGGATCAAAGGGAAGGGGCTTCCCTTCCGCTCGATTACGACGTTGTTAGATTTTTCTCTGACTGGAACATTTGGGGAGGGCCCAGGTGACGGGGAGGGGGGGGGGCAGCGGCGACGGCGACGACGACGACTCAAACAGAAGAGCGTCAAGGGAGGAGAGCGGCGACGACTACGACTCAAACAGAAAACCCCTTCAAACACGCCGACAGGGTCGGCGGATTTCTTCTTCTTCTTCTTCGTCTTCTTCTTCTTCTTCTTCTTCCTCGTTTTCTTCTTCTTCTTCTTCTAGGAGGGGGAGGCGCGGGGAGGGGAGGGACGGAAGAAAAGAGAGGGGTGAGGGAGGCGGATTCGAGAAGTGCGGTAGGAGGGGGAGACGGGAGAGGGGAGGAGAGGAGGGGAGAGGGGAGGGGGACGGGGAGGATTTGCAAGGAAAGCGGCAAGAGGAGGTTTGAAGTTGGGAGCAGCCTCCCCCCCACGCATACACCTTCCCACCACCCACCTACATGGCAAGGGCGAGAAGGAGAAGGGAGAGGAGGAGGAGGAGGAGGAGGAGGAGGTGGAGGAGGAGGAGGAGGAGGAGGGGAAGAGGAATACTTGAATAAGAGATGGAGGAAGGAGGAGGTAGGAGGAGGAGGAGAAGGAGGAGGAGGAAGGAAGGAGGAGGAGCAGGACTCAGGCAGTGAGTGAGGAGCCGTGGACAGCGAGGAGAAAGCACGCCAGGAGGAGGAGGAGGAGCAGGGAGCGCAGGAGCAGCAGCGCAGGGGGGGGCGCGGGAGCGGGCGGGGAAGGGCCGCACCGCCTTCCTCTGCGTCTCGCGCTGGCCCCCGAGAGCCAGGATGGTTGATGACCACGGGCTTCAAGAAGCAGGACGCGGGGCCTTCCGCGCCGCCCGCTGGTGGGGCGGAGGGCCGCGGGGGGGCACCACGGCCGGCCGGAGATCTTGGCCCCTGTCCTCCCTCTTCTCCTCCTCCTCCTCCTCCTCCTCCTCCTCCTCTCCTCCTCCTCCTCTCCTCCTCCTCCTCCTCCTCCTCCTCCTCCTCTCTCTCCTCCTCCTCCTCCTCCTCCTCCTCCTCCTTCCTCCTCCTCATCCTCCTCCTCCTCCCTCCATCTCCTCCTCCTCCTCCTCCTCTCCTCCTCATCCTCCTCCTACTACTCTCTCCTCCAGCTAGGTCGCTCCTCCTCTTCCTCCTCCTCCTCCCTTCCTTCTCCTCCTCCTCCTCCTTCTCCTCGTCCTCTGTCCTCCTCCGCCTCTCCCCTTCCTCCTTCATTTCTCTCCCTCATAAATAACTCCTCCCTGTCGCACCCCGAGGCCAGTTTGAAGGGCGGACCAGGCGTTTTGCCTGATACTTCCTTACCATGTATGCCCCTTGCTTAAAGCTGCAACAGTTTCACGGATGGCGGATGTGTTGTTTTCAACATGTGGTTCTCGCTTTAGCGCCGCGCGTTTTCGCTTTAAATCATGCAAGTAATTCACGGATTGGGGGCAGGTGGTTTTCAACATTTGGCTCTCGTCATCAGCGACGCGCACATTCGCTTTCAACGTCTGCAAGAGCTTCACGGTTTGAGGACAGGTCGTTTTCAACATGTGGTTGTCGCCTTAGCGCCGCGCATATTCGTCACAACAAGTTGCAGCAGCTCGAATGGAGGGCGTGTCGTGTTCAACATGTGGTTTTCGCTTTAGCGCCGCGCACATTCGTCATACACATGTGCGTTCGCTTCACGGATAGAGGGCGGCACCTTTTCAAAATGTGGCTCTGGCCTTGGCGCCGCGCACATTCGTTCTTAAACTGCACAACAGTTTCAATAAGTTTCTTTGTCGACCTTCCAGAAATAGTGTTTTGGCACGATGTCGGATTGTCAGGGCGCAACAGTTACGTTGATTCGTGGTGTTGGAGTCCCAGGAATGGTGTTGTGGCACGATTGAGGCTCGTCGAGACGCAATGGTGACGGTGATTCGCGGCGTTGACATGGTGGTCTGGCGCAGTTTAGGATTTTCAGCGGATTTTTCAACGCTTCTTTCTGTGAGCCGTGTTTTTATAGGGGCCTACGAAGAGGGAGCTTGGAGGGAGGGCTAATTGCAACATTGTTGATGCGTCTTGAGTTTACATTTGTCCTCCTCCTCCTCCTCCTCCTGCCCCTCTCCCCCTCCTCCTGCTCCTCCTCCTCCACCGCTTGTTTCCCTTCTGGGTAATTTATGCCTGTCGCACCCCGATGCCAGTCGGAAAGGCTGGCCGGGCGTTTCGCTTGACACCTCCTCACCGTTTATGATCCTGGAGCGCGATAGTTGCAACCGTCTCACGGTTGGCGGACGTTTGGTTTTCAACATGTGGTTCTCGTCTTAGCGCCGCGCGCTCTCGCTTTAAGAAATGTTTGAACTTCTCGTGTTAAGGACAGGTGGTCTTCAACATGTGGTTCTCGCCTCATCGCCGCGCATATCCGTTCAGAACGTGGCAAGCGCTTCACGGATGGAGGCTTGGTCGTTTTCTGCATGTGGCTCTCGCTTTAGCGCCGCGCGCGTTCGTCACACAATCTTGCAACGGCGCCACGGTTGGAGGACGGGCCGTTTTCAACATGTGGTTTCCGCCGTAGCGCCGCGCGCATTCGTCATAACAAACATGCAAGCGTTTCACGGATGGAGAGCGGCTCCTTTTCCAAATGCGGCTCGCGCTTTAGCGCCGCGGACATTCTCATGGCCAGCGCACCAGAAATTGTGTTTTGGCACGACGTCGGACTAGCAGGGCGCAACATTGATGTTGATTCGTGGTGTTGCAGTCCCAGGGATGGTCATGTGGCACGATTCGGGTTCGTAAAGGCGCAACGGTAACGGCGATGCGTTGAAGTCCCAAGAGTGGTGTTCTGGCCCAGTCTCCGATTTTCAAACAGTTGTTTTCTTCAACGGGGCACTTCTTCCAGTGATGATGATTCTTTGTAGGGGCCTATGACGCGAGTGCTTGGAAGGCGGGCTTATTGCACTATCGTTGGTGGGTCTTGGGTTTACAATTGTCCTCCTCTTCCTCCTCTTGCTTCTCTTCGCCCTCCTCCTCCTCCTACTCTTCCATGGTTATTTCCTTAGGGGTAATTCATACTTGTCGCGCCCCGATTCCAGTCGGAAAAGGCGGGCTGAGCGTTTCGCTAGACACACCCTTACCATATGCGATCTTGTAGCTTGCGAGCTGCAGCAGTCCCATTGATGGCGGACGTTTGGTTTCCCAACTGTGGTTCTCTTTCAATTTATGGCAGACTTTCACGGATTGGGAACAGGTGGTTTTCAGCATGTGGTTATCGCTTTGACGCCGCGTGCGTCCGTTCAGAAAGTTGCAAGCGCCTCGCGGATAGATGGCTGTTCGTTTTCAACATGTGGCCCTCGCCTTAGCGCCGCCCGCATTCGCCGCACCAGAATTGTATCAGTTGCGCGGATGGCTGGTGCGCCGTTTTCAACATGTGGCTCTCGCCGTAGCGCCGCGCGAATTCGTCATACGGACCATGCGCGCGTTTCACGGATGGGGAGCGGTCCCTTTCCCATACGAGCGCCGCGCACACGCGTTTGTAGACATGACAGTCATTTCCCGAATTCTCATGGTCAGCGTACCAGGAATGGTGTTTTTTAGCACGACGTCGGACTAGCAGGGCGCAGCAGTTACGCTGATTCGTGGCGTTGAAGTCCCAGGAAGGGTATATTGGTACGATTCAGGATCGTCAAGGCGTAACAGTTACGGTGATTCGCTACATTGAAGTCCTGGGAATGGTGTCCTGGCCCTGTTCAGGAATGCCAAACGTTTTTTTCTCCAACGGGGCAAATGCATCTTCGTATGGCCATATGAGGGGGCTTGGACGGATGTTGATTGCTACATCGATGATGAGCCCCAGATTTACACAGGTCCTCTTGCTCCTTCTCCTTTTGTTCCGTCTCCTCCGCCTCCTTCTCCTCTTTCTCTTCCTCCTCCTCCGCCTCTTCCTCATCGTAGCCATTTTGGCTCAAGTGCTGCGGTCTTCCCCCCGCCTGGCGGCGCGCGTCCAGCCATGGGGGTCTCGAGTGCGGAACTCGCGATCATCGTCGAGGGCGTCATGCGGGGCGCTGCAGGCGGAGGTCAACGTGCAGCGGTGGCTGCGGCGGCGGCGGCGTGTGTCCGCGTGGCGGCGGAAGTGCTGCAGGGTATCGCGGAGCCGTCCGACGAGCAGGTCGAGACGAAGGAAAGGATGAAGGCAATCGAGCCCGTCATCCAGAAGCACGTCCAGGCAGGCGGGCGCGGGATTCGCGCCAGCATCCCTGGAAGCGGCAGGAAGCTGCGCAACCAGGCCTCCCACCATCGCTTTGGTGCTGGGCCTGGCGCATGGCGCGAGGCGTTCCCCCCGACCGTGCAGGACAATGCGGACGAGTGCAAGGATGTGCTGGGTGGCGACTCCCAGGAGAAGATCGAGGACATGCAGGTCATCGAGGAGAAGGAGGTCGCGGCGATCATGAAGCCGCCGATTACCAAGCACGTCGAGAGGTTCGCTCACGGTCCGAAGGTGGAGGCGGACGTGTCGTCGACGCACTTCGTCGAGAAGGACCTCCTGGTGCCGAAGAAGGCCGAGGATAAGGTGGAGGTGCCGATGCTGGCGCACGTCGAGAAGGACACCGACGTGCAGAAGGCGGAGCATTCGGACCCCTCGGCCGACAAGGTGTGCGACGACATGGTGAAGAACGTCGCAGGCTTCGGGAACAGCGTGGAGGTGCCGAAGTTCTTGCTGGGCCTCCCGCCGCGGGCGCAGGAGATTGCCATGGAGGCCATGAAGGACGCCGAGGCCAGGCACCGTGCAATGATCGGCTACGGCTGGTCAGGTCGCGGCGCTCGTCGGCCAGGTCGGGGTCCTGTTCTCGGGAGCTCAGGCAGGTCGCGTTCGTCTTCGACGGCCGCGGGGTGATGGTCTGAGCTCGCGCGCTCGGGGTGCGGAGGCTCGTGTTCCTCCTGCGCCCCGCGAGTTGCGGAGGCTCGTGTTCCTCCTGCACCTCGGCTCGGTGCGGAGGCTCGTGTTCCTTCTGCACCGGGCGTGCTTCCCTGGCGGCGCGAAGGCACGTGTTCCTCCTGCGCCGCCTGGGCTCGACGTTTAGGGGTGCGGAGGCTCGTGTTCCTCCTGCGCCTCGGCTCTGTGCGGAGGCTCGTGTTCCTCCTGCACAGGGCGCGGTGCCCTGGGCGTGCGAAGGCTCGTGTTCCTTCTGCACTCCAGGGCCTTTCTCGGTCACTCCGCCTCTTCCTCACCAGAGAGGCCATCGTCCTGTGGACAGACTGCCAGCTTGTCCACGACGGCTGGCATACGGGACGCATCTCAAACCCTTGCGGTCCACTGGCCCGTTGGTGGCGCAGGATCGCCACAATTATCCGGGAGCGGCCTGGAGGAGCCGCAGGGGTGGAATTGCGCACGTGTTGCTCCCACCTCGACTTGCCGACGATCTTGCCCCCTGGCCTCCTCCTGCTCCTTCTCTTTCTCCTCTTCTTCCTCCTCCTCCTCCTCCTCCTCTCCCTCCTCCTTCTCCTCCTCCTCCTCATCATCATCATCCTCGCCTTCCTCGTCCTCCTCCTCCTTCCTCCTCTTCCTTCGCCGCCTCCTCCTCGTCCTCCTCCTCCTTCTCTCCCTCCTCCTCCTCCTCCTCGTCCTCCTCCTCCTCCTTCTCGTCCTCCTCCTCCTCCTCCTCATCCTCCTCCTCACTCTCCCTCCTCCGCCACTTCCCATGCCAACTCTCCCATCCTCCTCCTCACCCTCCTTCTTCCGCCCCTTCCTGCTCCAACTCTGCCTCCTCCTCCTCCTCCTCCTCATCTTCCTCCTCGTCCTCCGCCTCCTCTCGCTTGCTTCTCTTCCGCCTCCTCATCTCATTCCTCCTCTTCCTCATCCTCCTCCTAACTTCTCCTCCTCCTCCTCCTCCTCCTCATCCTCCTCCTCCGCTTTGTGCTCGGTCAGATGTTTCTGGTGCTGTCCCAGCCCCTCCACAGCCGTCCAAGGAGGAAAGGCCGAGGCTTGTTATTGTTGCTGACGATACCGTGCCCCTGGCTCCTGGACCCTCGGCGTTGCAGTGCAGACAATGCTTTGCGGTTGCTCGGGCGCCAGCCAGTGGCAACTCTTTGCTCAAGCCAGGGGCTAGGTGTGAGCCTGAGCCGGTGATGCGCCAGCTTGCTGCTCTTGCCGAGCGGTTCGGCTGGCGCCAGCATGCCGAGGGGGAGGGTTAAGTTGCCTATGCCGCTGCGGCTGCCAGTTTGGCTGCGGAGGCGGGGTGGAGTCTACTCGTGTGCGACGGCAACCATATTCACAGGGCAGGGTCCTTCCTGTGCGTGTTGCGGGGCCCGAGTTGCCCTGGGCTCGGCCAAGATCGAACTCCTTGGTGGCCCCTGCCCCACGAAGACCCCCAACCCTGCCCGCCTGCGAGCCAGGGACTGGCTCCCTGAAGGCAGGCACCCAGCAACTGGGATCAGGCTCGTCCAGTCTAATCCGTAATTTGGTTAGGCTTCTTTGAGGGCTGGTGTGTTGCCACCCTCTTCCAGTATTATACAGTCGTCGTCGCGTTCTTGGATGCTTCGCTGTTCTATGCTGCGTCCTGCGTCCTCCTCCTCCTCCTCCTTGTCCTCTCTCTCTCTCTCTCTTGATTGCTTTATGTGTCTCTCTCTCTCTCTTGTTCTCTCTTTCTCTCTCTCTCTCTCTCTCTCTCTCCTCCTCCTCCTCCTCCTCCTCCTCCTCCTCCTCCTCCTCCGCCTCCTCCTCCTCCACCTTCTCCTCCTCTTCCTCCTCCTCTCCCTTCTCCCTCTCCTCCTTCTCCCTCTCTGCTTTTTTGACGCTGATCGGACATAAAGGTGGTTCTTGTCGCGTCCTGGAAAGCAGTGCTAGGCCTCAAGGAATCTAATCGCCGACTTAGGCCTTTGCAATCAAATTAAGGCAGCCGCCAATGCGGGTAAGGATGTGCGAGAAGCTGCGGTAAAAGAGTGTGGCCCTTGGGGGCGAAGAGTAAGTAGGCGGCGGCTGCCGGAAGGAGAGACAAAAACAACAATCAACATATTAATGCTATAATGAGCATAACAACGATAACACATCGGGAATTTCAGGAGTTCTGAAAAACGCCGTGCACGTGAAATACACAAGCATATGCTGCTTGACCATAGAGTGTCCCTCCCCATTCCCCTCTGTCTCCTCCTCATCATCCTCCTTCTCTTCCTCCTCATCCTCCTCCTCCTCTCTCCCCTCCTCCACCTCCTCCTCTCCCTCCTCCACCTTCTCGTCCGCCCCCGACTCCTCCGCCCCATGGTCTCCTTCTCACGTTACCCCGACGCCGATCGATGAACGTCGCGCCTGAAGCCAGGCGAGGTAACAGACAGCTTCCGGTGTAGGCGGTGCAAAGTGACCCGAGGAAACAAAGATGCAGTCGCGGTAGGTGCCCAGCGAGAATTTAGAAGAGGGTGCAGTGGTCCCGGGGGCATGGATGAACGGAGCTGCTGTGCGTGCAGGCTTGCGAGGTGGAGGCGAGAGGAATAACCAACCGTAGAACATACGGTACAGTCGGGGCGCTGCAGAAGGAACCCTTTTCTTTTGGGAGGGGCTCAGTGTTCCTCAGTCGGTTTACAGTTTGCCTTGGGTTGTCCTTAGGTCTTCGATGGGAAACGCGTTTACGGGAGCCTCGTTCCTGATTCAGGGCTCCTCAGGTGCACGCCCCGACTGAAATCAAAGAGGGGGGGCTCCGAAAGAGGTGCGTGACCGAAATGCAGTGCGTAGCCGTGGCCCCCTCCTCCTCCTCGTCCTGCGGCAGCCTCGGGCGGAAGGCCTTTTTCCAGCCGCAGGCGTCATCCAGGCGCGGGCGCGGGCAGTGGCCCGACGCAGCCCGCGTGCCCGCGACGCACTCCGAGGACGCGGGGACCCCCCCCGCTGCTGAGTGGGACTTTGCCTGCGGCAGGCCCGTGCCGCCTCCGAGACGCGGCGGCACGGGCGTCCACCGCGGAGCACCGTCTCGGGCCCGGGGTCCAACAGCACACCGTCCACGGCGCGAGATCCGCACGAGGGAGGTCGGTATCCTTCCTGAAGATCTGCGAGAGCAGAGGTCTCGCGCGGTGCGAGCAGCCAGGGCCCATGCTCCATTCGCAGGCGCCGACCTCGGCGGCAGCGGGCGCGCCGTCGCCGCCGCCGCCGCCGCCGCCGCCGTCGTCGTTGTCGTCGTCGTCGTCGTCGTCGTCGTCGTCGTCGTCGTCGTCGTCGTCGTCGTCGTCCTCGTCCTCGTCCTCGTCGTCCTCGTCGTCCTCGTCGTCCTCGTCGTAGGCTTGCCCGAGCATGATGATGACGATGATCGGTTTTCACTTCGCGTTCTTTGTATGACCGCCTCGCATTCCTCTCCTCGTCGAAATCCTCGTCCACCTCCAATAAGCAGGGAGGCGCCTTCCTGCAGCAAGGGTCTAGCGGCCTTGAACTTGCCATCCGTTCTGAAACCGTTGCTTGCAACTCCGTTCTGGGGGGAACTGGGAAGTATGGGCTGGACCCAGGACGTCCCGCAGAGGCCGGCAGGAACCAAGCAGAGCTGTCCCAGGCGTTCGCGTGAACGCTCGAGCGAAGCCACGCGCAGCACGACGAGGACCGCGTGGATATCGATGAGAGGCACCAGGCTCTGGGGCGCCACTCCCCAGAGGAGTGCATGCAGACCCTCTTCGTGTGCGGATCGGTGCGTGTCTCCGTGCGCTCCTCCGTTCGGCGCCGACTGCCCGATCCCCCCCCCCTCCTCCTCCGCCTCCTCCTCCGCCTCCTCCTCCGCCTCCTCCTCCTCCTCGCTCCTCCTCGCTCCTCCTCCTCCTTGCTCCTCCTCCTCGCTCCTCCTCGTCTTCCTCCCCCGCCCCTTTCCTCCCCCTCCTGCGCGCAGGAGGGCAAGTCCAGCTCCGCCGGCAAGTGCGGCGAGGGCGTGTCGGAGAACGGGCTGGTGTGCGGCAACCGCCTCTGCGAGGGGGCGAGAGGAGGCCAGAGATGCGCTCCCGGATCGTTTGATGCAGGGGCGCGCAGGCGATCGTGCTTCGCGCCTCCCGAGGAGGAGGAGGAGGAGGCGGAGGAGGATGAGGAGGAGGCGGAGGAGGAGGGGGAGGAGGAGGAGGAGGACGAGGAGGAGGAGGAGGAGGAGGAGGAGGAGGAGGGGGAGGAGGAGGGGAAGGGGCGGGAGGAGGAGGAGGAGGAGGAAGGAGGTAGGAGGAGGAGGAGGAGGAGGAGGAGGAGGAGGAGGCGGAGGAGGCGGAGGAGGCGGAGGGGGAGGGAGGAGGAGGAGGAGGAGGAGGAGGAGGAGGAGGAGGAGGAGGAGGAGGAGAGGAGGAGGAGGAGGAGGAGGGAGGAGGAGGAGGAGGAGGAGGAGGAGGAGGAGGAGGAGGAGGAGGAGGAGGAGGAGGAGGAGGAAGGGGAGGGGGAGGGGGAGGAGGAGGAGGAGGAGGAGGAGAGGAGGAGGAGGAGGAGAGGAGAAGAGGATGGAGGAGGAGGAGGAGAGGAGAGGAGGAGGAGAGGGGAGGATGGAGGAGGAGGAAGAGGAGGAGGAGGAGGAGGAGGAGGAGGAGGAGGAGAAGGAGGAGGAAGGGGGGGAGGAGGAGGAGGACGAGGAGGACGAGGAGAGGAGGAGGAGGAGGAGGAGAGAGGAGGAGGGAGCAGGAGCAGGAGCACAGGAGGAGGAGGAGGAGGAGGAGGAGGAGGAGGAGGAGGAGGAGGAGGGGAGCGAGGGAGGGGGGAGGGGGAGGGGGATGGGGAGGGGGCGCGCAGGCGATCGCGCCTCGCGCTCCGCGGTCAGGGCGGGGCTGTAAGGGATCCTCTCCAGGGGGGCGGCGCGAGAGTGCGACTGGAATCGCGCAGTGCAGAGCCTGTGATGGCCTGGGTCCCCCCCCGCCGCGAGAAGGTGTTCTCCACACCCGCTGGTCCAATACTCCCACGCCCTCCTTTCCCCCCCCAGGCGGCGGCGGTTGCTGACATGGACGCTGGGTAGTCGTCTCGTCGTCTGCTCTCAGGCGGCAAGCCAGCCTGGGAGATAATTGGGTAACGGAGCTCTTGCTCGTGTGGCCACAGAGCGGCAGTAATTTGTTCCAGGGAGCTCTCCGACGTCGGCGCCCTTTCATGGGATGGAGGAGGGGCTGATAGGGGGGAGGAGGGAGGGTCGGGAGCATGTCCGCCAGGTCGGCTGTAGCATGTGTATTGCACCCCTCTTGGCCGCGGGCCAAGCCATGTTTCCGCTTGCGTCAACCTACGGCGCAACCTACGACGCATTGTATGGCACGACCCAGACAGAACGGGTGGATGGACCCGTGATTTCGCTTGCCCGCCTGCCCTCAGAAAACGGGGGCAACCTGCGCTCAGCGGAGCATGCAGAACCCCATATCCCGGATAAAAGATCCCCTTCCCACCTGAGTTAATTTCCGCATGCGCGCAACCTATAAGCTATCAGGCATCCCATGGTTGCCTCGCAATCAACGTGTTGTCGCCAGCGTCCAGCTCGCACTTCGTTGGGCCGGTGCTCTGCTGTGCAGTGCCGTCTGCGTGGCCGCGCCGTGCCGTGTCGTGTTGTGCATATGTTGTGCCGTGTTGTTGCACATTTGTAGGGTCTGTGGCGAGGTGCATGGACATTTGATTTGTGCAGGTGGCTGGCACTGGGGCTCAAGACAATGTGTGTCACCCGCGGACTGGTAGATTTCCCACGGCTTCTGGGCTCCAATCCGCAGGTATGGCAGGTCGCCGCTGTCGTACAGGGGCGCATCGGCTGGCTGTTGGGCTGGCGGCTGGATCGATGATGCTGGCCTGGGCACGAGGTTTTGCGTTCACTCCAGGGCTGGAGAACATGCCCAGCGGTGCTCCGCGTCTTTACGGCTACGATCACTCGCACTACACCGTCCGATGCCGGATGGCTCTAGGTCTCAAGAAAATGCCATATCGAATGATATGGGTCGCAGAGGATGATGAGGAAACTCCCATGCAGCTTGTTGGCAAGAAGATCACCCCCATCATAGAATTCCCTGGCGAGCCCGCGTTCCCGGAGTCTACCGACATTATCAATCGCGTGGATGGAGATGCTAGGTTTGGACCTCCTCTCCTCAAGCCGAAGACAGAGCGACCCGAATTGGACGCATGGCTCAAGGGTTTGAGCACGCCAATGCGAAACCTGGGCCGTCCCCGCTACATCCGCTCCGCGGTGCTCCCAGAGTTCCGCTCCAGCTCCGCGCGGCAGCGCTTCGTGACCACGCACCCTCTGCCAGACCCCGTCACTGGCGAGACCCTGAGCAAGCCGGACTGGGCCGCGTTGCCACAGGACGAAGGGGATGGGGGATGATGATGATGATGATGATGATGATGATGATGATGATGATGATGATGATGATGCTGATGATGCTGATGATGCTGATGCTGATGCTGATGCTGATGCTGATGCTGATGCTGATGCTGATGATGACAAAGATGATAAAGATGATGCTGAGATGTACTGCTGATAGTGTGATGATGCTGATGGTGATGGTTGTGATGGTGATGATGGTGACAATGATGATTGTGGTGGTGGTAACGATGATGATGCTGGTGATGATGATGATGCTAGTGACGATGATGATGATGCTGGTGATGATGATGATGATGATGATCATTGTGACGATGATCACGATGATGATGATGCTGATGGTGGTGACGATTCTGATGCCGGTGATGATGATGCTGACGATGATGATGTGGATGACGATGATGATGATGATTATGCATGTTATTGTGATGGTGATGATTGTGGCGATGATGATGATGATGATGATGATGATGATGATAATGATGCCGATGATGATGGTGATGATGGTGATGATGATGGTGCTGACGATGATGATGCTGGTGATGATGTTGATGACGATGTGATCAGGATGGCGATGATGATGACGATGATGATGCTGGCGATGATGATCATGATGGTGATCATGGTGATGATGATGATGATGATGATGATGATGATGCTTGTGATGATGATGATGCTGATGCTGATGATAATGTTGAGGATGCTAATGATTTTATTGCTGTTGGTGATGAGGATGGTGATACTGTCGATGATTCTGATGCTGATGTTGAGTATAATGCTGACGCTGATGCTGATACTGATAACGACGACGACAATGCCGACGATGACGATGATGATAACGATGATGATGATGATGATAATGATGATGATGATGATGCTGATGATGATGATGATGATGATGGTGATACTGATGATGATGAGTCTGATGATGCTGATGATGATGCTGCTAATGATGATTATGTTGATGATGTTGCTGCTGATGATGATGATGCTGCTGCTGCTGATGATGATGATGATG